TTACTCGGTTGATATCTTCTGATGATGATTTACAATAAATAATGCTTATATTACCGTTTCGCGATATCCGACGATTCTATCGTGTTGTTTTAATTTTCCTCTACTGTCTTTATTCAACGTTAAACCTTAATAAATAATTTAAAATGTCAGCGAGTACACCGTCAGTGTGGGATATATTTAAACATTTTGAATAAATCTACTCAGTTCTAGAATACATCATGATCATGATATCGTTTCTAGCTGTCTGAACATTATGATTATAATTTTAAAATAGGACAATGGTCTCATATTTTATCTGTTAATTCATGGATTTGACATTTCTTTTATCTTATTATTTTTTCTTTTCTAGGTTGAATGAAAGCACATTTGTAATTTTACTTGATGCAATATAACTTAAAACAATCAATAGATGTTAGAAATGGCACTAGAAATTCAACTGTTATTTGCATTGCAATCCTATGCAATTAGAGTACCTATGTCAAGTTAATTATTCTGGTACATTCTTATTCAAAGGTAAACTATAGGTTCTATAGGTGAAAAATTGTATAATGATATAATTTTCAAGTCAGCTGTTTCTCTGGTATATACAATAGCAGTATATTCAATAACAATTTATTGTGATTTGTCTCAAAAATAATTAATATGAATGTTGTGATTTTTTTTTTAGGAGGTAAAGGTTAACGAGCAATAGTAATTTAATGACATCATTATTAAATCCTACTATAATTTCTGAAATAAAAATTGGGTAAATTTATTTATATATATATATTTATTTATATATAATAAATTGAGTATTTTGAACTAAAAAGTAATATTAACTAATAGTTAAAATGATTTAAATAATGTTTTTCATAGAAATTTTGAATTAAAACTATGATGATTTTATGTTTTGACTGTAACTGTATACACACTTGGTCAAAAACAGCATTTTTAATAGGAACCACTATCAATGCAACCTTTCAATTTGTAGACTAGGTATTCTGTTTTCTATTATTATTTCTCAAATGATCATAGTGAAGCTTTGGTGTTAATTAGGTAAACTGAATAAAATATTAAAGATGATTATAGTAACACTCATTTAGATATTTGTTCTTGTGTTTTTGAAACAAATTCTTGAGCAATTATTTTAATTTAATTTATGCCATCAGATGTATGGAAAAGTAAAATCATTTAAATAAGTTATTCTTTTTTCAGTATTATAGACCTTAAATAGTATTTTAGGCTTCTTAATACAATATAGTTAGACTCTGTAATTGCTGATTGTTAATTTTAATGTTAATTTTACAAGTTTTGATATATTTTTCATTTAATTACTATAACTTTCTTAAATTATCAATAGTATATAAAATATTTGTACTGTATATATAGATGCTATAGGGTTACATAGTAAGCTGTGTATAAAGTTTTTTATATCAAAATCTATGTTATTTAAACAGTAAATTCTTGAAAGTATTTTTATTTTGATCTAAAACCATGATGTCTAATTTAACCAGATTTTTAAATCTTGTTGATTAAAACATTTATTAAAATTATACATCCAAAATCCAAATTTACATTATACTTATATCCATTAACTTCTGGAAACTAATGTTTAAGTATAAGTTTTCATTTTAAGTGAGTATTAGATAATCAAAATTATACATTTTTACAGCAAGTACCACTGCAGAGTGCCGACAATCATAATCACTGCATAACTGTACAATTCTTTGAAATTTTAAATAGCAAAATCAACAAACATTTAAATTTAAAAAATTATCCTACCTAAATCTTAATTACACTGGATTTTCTAAACTAGTTTGATATTTTAAAAATTTATCTCAGCTATTATCTGTCAAGAGGTTTTTGTAATATGAAAAACTGTAATCAACCTTATAATTTACAAAGTTAACATACGGTATGAATCGTCAATGCAAAAAATTTATTTGGTAATAAGAGGGCAAATAATATTATAAATTAAACTCTTCTTTAAGAAAATATTCTGTGTGTATTACTGAGTATGGAACACTTGAATAATAATAAAAATTAAATTTATTGCAACAAATAAAATACCTATACTATAGCAATATAAAATAAATACATTTAATAATATATTATTTCTATATTTTTAAGTACATTTTTTTTTTTATAAACAATTATTATGTTTTTAATTAGGTTTTTTAATCACATATTAAAAATTTCTTGACTTTGAGAGCACTTTCAGGTGAGACACTTTGTCACCGACTACTTGTGCTTAAAATGAATCTTGCGATAAAGATAACATTGTTATAACTTAAAAATATACAAGTACACACGAGACACAGACATGGAGTGTGTGTCGCGCAACCGAATTTGCGTGTCCCATCCCCTCGAGTTGCTTGAAAGTATCGTCTGAAAGCACTCTCAAAGCCAAGAAATTTTTAATATATGATTGAAATTTATTATTATTATTATTTATTTCCTAATTTTACTAGATTGAATAACTTGATGAGTTTAAAAATTGTGTTGTAAAGTATTGTAGAAGGTACCATATTATTAATGCTCGGTTTAATATTATGTGAATGACGTTAGTTAAATATATATTTATAATTTATATACATTGAACATATGATATATGAATAAAAAATATTGTTTTATTATCGTTAAAGATATACACTTTTAAGCAAAAACCGAAGTCAAGTTCTAATTTTGATAAAAATCATGTTAAATATAGCGAAATTTAGTTGAAGGAGTAAAGAGAAAAAATACTGAAATTAATAAACATTTTTATTTTACATGAATTATGTGTATGTTTATTTATTTTAGACTAGTTTTATAAGTATTTATCAATTTTTTGATATTAAAGTTACTATTATCTGTATAAGTTTGCCATAGATTACTTGTAGAACATACAATATTCATTGGATCATCTTTAAACCAAAGAAAAAAGATTAAGCTTGTTTTACTTACAAATGAAAACTTTACGTAAAGTGCAATATGTTTATTTCATGGTTTTTTAAATAAAAAAAAAAAAAGATTGATCATATTTGAAAAACTATTCTCATAATAAGTTACTAAATTAAAATTTGAATTACAAAGTCAATATTCATTGGATCATCTTGAAATTAAAACCAAAAGATTGAGATTTACTAAATTGAAATTTGAATATCTAACTCAATATTATGTATTATGTTTTAATAATTAATAATAAATCGATTAATATTAAATAAATAATAATAATAATAGTATAATGAAATTCCTGAAAGTTATTTCAATTTTAATTATGTAAACGGATCAATTAAATATAATTTACTATGCTACATACGTTTTAATTTGAATATGGTTGGGAAGGAGGGTAAAATTATACTTTTGCCCACCTTGGATTATTACCTAGGGGTCATTGTCTGATCTGCCACTCTCTTCTCTAGCACCATTGGATCTTATGCTTAATATGCTGTCATTGACCGTCCGTACAAGGTCTAAAAGCTGCAGTTAAACAACCTAGCTACCTAAATTCGATGGATTGATTCAAGCTGACCTTCGTAATAATCGTACTTCGAAACTATCCTATCGGAGATCACTCTTACATCGTCCATGTAAAAACAAGCAGTTCTGTTGGAACAGTGGAGATTAAGAGTAATGTGATTGTTTACTGTCACATACTTCATTCCTGGTAGCGCTGGCCCTGTTAAGTGTCTGTGACGTCCTTTCCAGTCTATACCGCCACGGCCCGAGTCACACACAGTTGAAACTTTCCAAAAAAACATTTTCGTCCTGTTTGCTTTCATTTTCACCCGTCTCATCGGTACCTATCGTTCTTTCACCTCCGTATAAAATAAAAACCCTGTGACTAACGCTCCGCCCTGGCATTCCACTATTTTCATAATTCATTATATTAAAGGCATTTTGATTATTACATCGACGTGTGTGAATTATATATTATTCTTGTGCATCAATAAAAATCCTGCCGTACAACATGTTGTTTTCTACGCTTCTTTTAACTCGCTAAAATAACGTTAGAAATGCACGGAGGAAACTAAGGTCTAAGCCCTAAGGTACCTCGCTCGGGTATATTTTCATAAGATGAATGTTCATAAAATTGAAAATATAAGATGATTTACTTGGAAATAAAATGAATTGGTCTTATATTTTTTTATGAGATTAATGCAAATGTAAACCTTAAATTATATACTATACTAGCTACTAGCTGAATTATTCGGCCTCGGGATGTACTTAACTATTTTTTTTAAAAAAATTGAGGTTTAAAAACTACCATTAACCTCATTATATGTCTTTAATTTATGTAATATCCTGTTAACATTTTATTATTTATTGTAAACAATATTTTTGTTCAAATAAAAGAAACAAAGAAACGTTACAAAAAAAAAAAAAAAACTGAAATAAAACGTAATGAATATGGACTAAGTAATATTGCACTACTCTGTCGAAAACTCTGCTATAAATGTGAATAAGAAGGGTTTAGAATGTGTTTATTGGTTTACTATATCGGCATGTATTAAAAAAAAAAACGATTAAATAAGTAGTTTAGGAGCCAACTTGTTACAAAGATTTCATTTACAATTTTATATGTATAGAAGATATGATATTATCATATTATGATGCGTGTTTGATTTAAGATGTAAACATTCATCTCTAAGGTAAAAGAATTTCAGCCATTGTGTCGACTTCAAAATGATTCCAAGTTAGCTGTCAAGTGCTTTTAAATACTGTGGATAACGTTATCCAATAAATAGTTAATTCATATTTTATATTTTATTTTTAGGTGACAAAACTGGTCTTTAGTAAAAACAGCAGTCAACGTCGTAAAGAATTTTTGTAAGACTATAGTCTTTAACTATATAGTATGCATTATTTCATGTATTTTATTTTTTTAATGAGGGCGTTCTGTGCAATCAGATACCAAGTAAAACCAATATGGTTATCGGTTGAAACCGTTATCAGCTCATACGATTTGTAAACTACACGACGTGTCGATAAAAACATATGATATATGATATTATGACGTAGGGCGAGGATAAATTAAAATTAGGTGTCATTTTTTATTCTTTTCTTTCGTAGTTACTAGCTGTATAGCTGTGTTACCTAGCGTTACTTTGACGTTTATTGCGCGTCGTTTTTGTTTTGATTGATTCACGGCCATCGTTTTTTAGGTGTTTTATTTAATTGCTCTGTAGTGTAGAGTAAATTTGTATTTGTTCAATCGATATCTATTATGAATTCCAATCAACCAAATAAAGGATCTTCTGGTACTATAAAAAAATATAATTTTTTAAAGTATGTCTTAATTTAATATAATTTTTCTTAACAGGTGTTCCAGGAACAAAAAAACAGCAAAAAGGTAAAAAAAAAAAAATATTTAGTTAAAAAAGTAAGTAGGTAGGTACCCAATTAAACTAGAGTATAAACGTTAGTGATTAATAGATTCATTAATTAGTCTATAAAGCTGGTCACATAAACTTGTGCATTCGGAAAGTATCATAATCTAGTATGCTTATTTATATTATGATTATGTTGTTACTACACAACTATTGTATTCCAGTTAATTCCTTCTATTTCTTTTTTAATCAACTTATAGCAAACAACGAGTGACTGCGTAACAATGATCAGTATGTCTTACGATTACCTAAATACTTTCCGTACGGCTATCATGTGTAAAGTACATTTATTGATGAGTATTGGTCAGGGCGTATATCGATTCCGCCGACTACTGTTTATAATATCTTTTTATTGTCTCCGCCGACTACTGTTTATAATATTTGGATATTGATTCCACCGGCTACTTTTTATAATATTACTTATTAGGATATTGATTCCGCCGGCTACTGTTTATCGGTGAACGAAAATTTGCTATGTCGTGCGTGTGTAAGACAGAAACAACACATGCGGGTAAGATTAAGATATCCTCTTAATAAAATGTATAAAATTATAATAGTTTTATAATTCAAAACTAAAATGTATAGTCAAATTCAGTGGTTCTCAACCTTTTTTGTGTGACAACACTAATGTAGATTCATAAAAATGGCGATACACTCAGACCCAGACTGGGAGGATACCAGCCTACTAGGTAACTCAAATAGATAAACTAAAAAAAGTTTAGGAACCACTGCTATATATTTTAAAATACATATACAAGGGGGGGGGGATAAACAGTGTCGGGCAGAATCGATGTGTGGATATTATAAACAATTTAAACAGTAGCCGACGGAATTAATAACCAGCGGAATCGATACAAATCTTTTTCCTAAACTGGTAGTTTCGGCGAAATCAATAATTCCCCTTGGTCAAGTACTGTCTTGTTAATTATGCACTATAATATGCATACATTTGTTTAGTGAGAAGTTATACATTTTGCATTTATAATGATAAACAAAATAAATGTAATAAATATATTATTAGTTATTACTTTGATATCATGACAAAATTCTATTATAATGTAACAAACATACAAATATATAATATTAATATTATAGTTTATTATAAACTTAAAGTCTATTGTAAGCATTTAATATGTATTTTGTATTACTTTACTCCAGGAATTTTTCAATTTCCTGGTTTCTTAATAATCTTGTCTTGTTTTTTCTTTTAGGTAGAAACTATGTCATATAGTTGAAAATTTTTATTAACTTTTTAGTTAATTACTATTATAAATTAATTAATTCTATCTAAACTAGATTCCAAAGATACAAGATATTATTATAGTCTATAGATCACCACTAAATTGAATACATTTGTTAAATTTTATCTTTATGAATTTATGACACTAATTGTAGTAAAAAATTAATTCACTTTATTACTATTATCAAAAAAATTTTGACACAAAAAAAAATTATACATACAAACTTATCTTATGAGCTCAATTCACCCTCCATCCCCAAAATTAACACTCCTTGATAAATAATAATTATTTCGAAAGTATGTCTTTAAAATTTATCAAACTAAAAAGTAAATTATTATTTAGTATAACATAAATAATAGATATCAATATTTTTTTTTATTAATTTACAAATCAATAGTATGAATATTATTTTAAATAATATTAATACTATATTATTATTACTATTAAAAATTCTAAGCTTAATCAAACCGAAAATTAAAGAATTTACTTATCATAACTATTATACTGAGTAGGTACATATTACTCTCATGAACTATAACTTCTACCATTTTATTACATATTCATTAGTCATTTCTAGGACTCGAGTTTTAAAGCATATGCTTTTTTTTCATGTGTGAGATAGAAATCTAATTTTTATACATAAATTTGTTTCATGTTATTCTGATTCCAAATAAACCAATTTATTTTAGCTTTTTTCAGTTATTTCAGCTGTTGATTTTTTATTTTTATTATTCTATAGTAATAAAATATTTTTTAATTTAATTAACAAGAAATATAAGAACTCAGAATATGAATTAAATTGTTAAATTGATTATTGTTTTCTTTATTGGCTACAAATAGCCTGTAATACCTACGGTCAGTATGACTATAATATCGATATCAAACATTCCAAAATTGTATGGAACCATTATTTTATATTGTGTTGCATTACATCAAATGAAATATATTATCATGAGTTTGATTTAAATGAAACTTCTTGTATGAAGTATTCATTGATCATTTAAGTAGATGTTTAGCATTCATTCTCTATGTATAAAACATTCTGTTAGACAGTAATCAGTTTCACTACTGCAAATCTAGTAAAATACATGGTAGTTAATTCTCTTTTTAATTTAAATTAATTTTTCATTTTTTTTATTCAATTTTATAACTAATTTATGTTAATTTTTAGTCATGATATTTTTGCTTTTTTGAAACAATTTTGTGCTATTTTTGTTATTTATTATGCTTTAAAATCTGAGTCCTAGTCATTTCACAATAAATTACATATTTTGTGATCTGATAAATTTGTTACTACAATTTGTTTAGTTACTTTACTTTGGGGCTTTCTTTTTGTAATAAATTGGCATTGTTGTATTTTGTTTTTTTTCTAATATCTAACATATTTAAAACTACATTTTGATCATAATGATATTGGTATTCACCAAAATTATTCAAATTTTAATGCTAAGAAAAATCAAGGATCATTAAATTCAGGTAATTTATCAAATTATTGTAATTTATAACAAGATGTATATAAAATATTTTAAAGGGATGTGATTTATATTTATACTTTTTTCATTTGTCTAGTACAAAATATAACAAATTTTCTTTATACCAAATTATAATTATATACAAGAGTTGTTAATACAAAAGTTTAAATCCTATAACCAAATTTCAAAATATGTAATATCAAATCATTTTCGTAAAACTATTTAACTTCTTTGTTAAATAATATTTTATTAAAAGTATATCATGTAATAGGTGTTAAGGTTTTAATATTAATCTATAAATCATAATTTTGATCTTTAATAATATGATACTATTAATGAATGACTTAATCTATTTTGTGTGTATCACAGTTATGAACTATGATATACCTATCTATTTTATCATGATAATATCAATGAATATTATGTTATGTATTGTTTTCTTTTAATATAATTTATTACAATTTTTGTGTTAGGTTTTAATGATCTGGCTGCTATTCCACAATCAGCTCCAACTAAAGGTTAGGTTATCACTTAGTAGTAAATCACGCTTAAGTATAATATTGTTTTACTACTTATATAGTTATGTTTAATTTAGAAAATCAACAATTCGAACAACAAATTTCAATACTCAAAAGTAAATTACTTGTTCCTAAAAGAAGAAATCCTAAAACTGGAGGTACTATAGGACGTGCAACTGAGATTGATGTGAATCATCTTCCTCTTAAACTTGACAAATTGTTCAAAAAAACTGTCTGCCACATAGATGTACAATTCAAACCAGAACTACCAAAAAAACTTCTTAGGTAATTTATTTAATAATAAACAAGTATCAATATGTTTAATTTTCAATTTTAATAATCTTTTATTCAAAAATTATTGTCTATTATGTTTTATTTACCAGAATTATAAATGAATACTTAAAACAAAAGTAAAATACTCAGATTGATACTTAGTAGTTAGATATATTTATATTTTATTTCCAATTTATTAAATTATATATGTGTGTATAATTATTTTTGTATTTTATAGACAAAAAAAAACTTACACAAAACAATAAATGATCAAATATTGTTTGTACATATACTATATATATATATATGTTGTGGGTAAAGTGGCAAAATAGCCTGATGGGCAATGTAGGCAAAATTATTACTTTGGCCAGGCTGTTTAGAATTGCCCAGTTTAGGTTGGGCAATGTAAACCAATATGCTTGAATTATTAAATTTACAACTGACTCTGTTCTTATAACAGTTATTTTAATTATTCTATTATAAATTTTTCTTTTAGTCAATGTTTCATTAACTTCTCAATGATTTCCAGTATTTATAAATGTTATAGCCGCTTCTAAATCTTCTTCAGTTTATAATTTATTAATTATTGATATTCTCATGCCAATTATTTTATAAAATATAAATATTAAAGTGCGTATATAACTCCAAAAAATATAATATGTATAAATTATTTATACTAAATTGACTGTAACATAGTACCTATCCTTCTCACTTTATCTACTCTATCTTAACTGTTAAACACATAAAAAAAAAAAAAAAAATGTATTCAAATGGAAAGTTTTGTTTATAGATTGAGTTACAATGCCCAGTTTACTACGGGCAAAGTAACTTGGACCAGTCAAAATGCAATCCTGCAAGGCAAAACTAATATTTTTAATATATTGCTTAAAAACACCAGGCAAAGCATACATTGACTGAGCAATGTAAAACATTTCTTGATAATCTACTTGCCCGTAACATATATATGTATATTTCACTATAGGAGTAGTGTTTTGGGTATTAGTTTATTTATGACATATTTTGTCTTTATAGAAATGCTTTGGAAGAATTTATTATCAAACATTACCCAAAACTTAATTTTGCATTTGATGGACGGAGGAATATGTTTACTACTACAGAAATAAAAGGGGTGAGTTCATTATTTTAATATTAAAAATATATTTTTAGTATATTATTAACTAATATTTCTAAATGATTGATTTATATTTTTGTAAGTCGAAAGTTTTTTGCATGTATTTTTAAGAAATCACCCACGTATGTGTTTTTGTCATTTTACAATTGCATAGATGCAAATTTCTGTTAAGCAGATTACATTCAGTTTTGTTAATTTCGAGAGTATAGTAATTTTTTAACATTATTGTTTGATTTCTTTCTGATAGTATATGAGAAAGTTTATGCAGTATATGAGCATTTTAAATTATAATATCTTTCATGTACATTACTTACTTTAAAATTTAGATATAATAAGAAACTAATACAGGTAATGCTCTTAACTTAAAGTTTGATAACAAGTCAATTTACTTTAATATTAAAGCTCAATATAACATTGGTATAACTGAACTCAACTTTGCCATCTTGCACATGGTAAAAGATAGTAAACAAATAATGTGCTGGTTATTCTCTCAAAAGTGTCGACATTTTTTTGTTATTTTTTTATGTTAATTTTAAAGCAAATTAAAATACATTTAAAATATTATGTTATAATGATGCTCATAACTTGTAAAATCTTAAATACAGAAAAATACAGATAATGTTTGTTATCTTTAGGTTTTATAGATTAAAATAAACAAAGCTAATATTTATTTTTGAGTGAAAATTTGTTATTTTACTAACTTCTTGATAGATCTAGGTAAAATGTCTTTTTAATAAATTATTATTGGACTTACTTAAAAAATTACAATATTTCTTAATCAATGATTTTCAATAATTAAATAACTACTTAAGAACATTAAGTATAATTGATGTTATATAATCATATTGTTTGTAAATATTGATTTAGGTTTATATTTAGTGTATATTATCTTATACACCGATCAAATCAACGTACACAATAAATGAACAATCAAAAATATATTAAAATAAATATTTATTAACACTTAGCGTATAGTGGTAACCAAGTCACATGATCACCAACACTAACCTCTTTTTTGATCATCCAGTTCTCTTTATATAATAAGTATATTGTTTAGCTTACACTATGTTTAATGTTATTGTTGTCTAATATGCTTAAAACTATAAAATGTCACAAAATTGTTATCTTAACCTACTAACATGTTTATATGCTATTATTTAACTTATTGATTACCTATTGTTTAGAAGTTCCACTTATTATCTGTGATTGTTTTACTATTCTAATTTTTAAATACTAACATCTTATTGCTTAATACAGCAGTCCCCAAAATTACAAAAATATGACCTCATATTTTAATCATCAGTGTCGTAAGGTGCTTTTGCAAAATTTCACCTTTCGTTTGTATTTTATTAGGTATATATATATTTTCATGAAAAAAAATTGTACCTAATATTTGAAATATGTTGGTGTTGGTTCTGCGTTGTTTGCAAATACCTTGTTTTTGAGCCGATGTTCTCATTTCTTCTTTTATTTTCTCATTATTATATTTCTTGTTTGATATTCTTCTTCAGTATTTATTTAGGTTTTGTTTGCTTCATTTTTTGTTCCGAATTTTATTATATTATATGTTGTTATTGAATATGTTTTTTATGGTATGTTGTAGTTTGTAATTATTATTTTTTTTATTATGTATATATAAACATTAAACTTTCGAAAATGGGTGTTTGGTCGGCATTAGGCCACCTCCATATGATATTATAGTGGCCTTTTGAAGTTAGAAATTAGTGACATTAGTTTTATGGATGTGAGTGATGACGATGAGCTGTATGACTACCGGAAGGATTTTCTTGGTTCGTGGTAAAGCATAGGGATACCTATTTCATCAGTATGTTTTGTGAATGTGTCCTTTTTTTGTTATATTTGTACATTATATATCTATTTTAATAACAATATTAGTTCTACTTAATTTTAGGATAGTTATTTACAACAAAGAAATAAAAATTTGTTTTGAATATTAAATCGTGAGTTTTTATTAAATTTAGCATTCTCCCATTTTTTTCGTGATGCCCTATGTTCGCTGAGTATTAAAGTTTGTTAGTCTTGTTAATTTTAAATTAAAATAATTACCATTATCGTCGCTGTACGACGTAATGTTTAACACTTTCTTAATATTTAATTTTAATCTGTCTAGTAATACTTTATCGGTGGTCCCATTCCAGAAAACTATTTTTGGTATACTATTATCTGTGTGGAAATATTGGTTGAGATAAATTGTCGACAGAGTTGTTTCTCCCTCGAACTTCAGACTTGCTTCTAGCTGCCCCAATAAAGATATTAACAATTCCGGCTTGTTCCTAAATATCCTACCAACACTATGCATTACCTGCCTTACTTGGCGTTGCTATAACATCTTTAATTTGTTATTTATGGTTAAGACAATAGGTTTTCCTTGTAATTTTACCGGCTTATGTTTTCCTAAACTGTTTGATACGGCCCCAGATACAAGTAGTAAGTCCTTTTTATTTATCATTGTAAATTCAAAATCCACTATAATAAATTTGATTTTTTCACTGTAATATATAATCATAATATTACTATACATTTCTTGTGTATGCATTATAAATTACAATTTTTATAAATATTTTTAATATTTTATTTATTTAATAGTTAATTTTATAGTCTTGGTGTTGGTTCTTTTATTAGCATTAATTTTTTTTCTTTCATATTATTGTTCGTTTATTATAGTTGAGTAGCGGCTTTGGATGGTAATTTATTTTACAGTTACTGTGTCATATTTTTTCTTCAATATATATATATATATATTTACACAATTATTATACATATGAATTTACACGTTTTCTTTAAAATATTTTAGTATGTTAAGTTTGATTTGTAAATCCGCGTTACTATAAGTTGATTCGAATGCATCGTTTAATACAAGGCTTGCAAACGTTGTAATAATGTTATGATTATAATAATTATAAATCATAATGTTATATTTAACAAATAACATTTGAAATTTGTAAACGTACTTATAACAGAAAACGATAAATATAGTATATTATTAAATTAAATAATTAATTTTCAATTAAATATTTAATAGTTATAAATTATTATTTTATTTATTTATTTGTTATATTTTTTTTGTTTAATAATTAGGTATTGATAGGATATTTTTATTGCCAATAACTAATAGATAATAATAATAAATAGTGATTGTATTGTACTGTACTACGAACAAAATTTAGACTATTCAGTTATTGTGTTCAGTTTGTTCAGAATTGTTTAGATGTCGGCGTTTGTCAAATCGTGGTCAAGTGTTTATAATTTATACTGATATAGTTAATAGGTAGATACGTTTACTTTATATTATTTTATTACTAATTTAATTTTGGTTATAAATACCTACTCTTAAATCTATATAGGTATTCATGTTAACAATTAAAAATTATTATTTGTAGAACGATTTTTTACCTAGTACAGAAAATGTATTTTATATTTTATATTAGTACGAATAAATATGTTTGCCAAGTTTTAATTTTGAATAGCAATAAAGGTAAAAGTTGAATAAAGTTTTTAAATTCAGAATAGTGATAAACTTAAAATTTGTAAAACGTTTTAAATTTTAAATTACGTTTTAAAAAAAATAACAATCATTGTTTTATATGCATCTATAAACGGATACATTTTGGTTTAATCTAAGTATTCATATGTAATGCGCCAATGACTTTTAATGTTGATACTTTAGATATACCTTAGCTGGTATATACTCACTATGAATAATATTTTTATAACTTTTTAATCCTATTTTACATATATTTATAGTAAGACTTTTTCCAAATTTGTCTAAATTTATTATCCGTAAATTTTTATTTAATAAAATACCTATTGACTTATTAGTTATTACTAATATTTTATTTATCTCCTTTTATCTTCTTCAATTAATTAATTAATTTCTGCATCATTATAACGGAACCTGTGTTCATTAATTCAAATGTTAATTATTCTCCAAAAAAAAAAAAAAAAAAATAATTAAATAAAAAATCTCAATATTATCTTTATTTAATATAACTTTTATTTATTTTAAATTAACTCCCCACAAAAAACTTTCCTAACAACGATGTACCAATAGACCAAAAGAGACAGTTATTTAATCTATACTTATAATATCGCTGTATTCATTCCGCTGCTTGATCTTCTCGCCGTTGTTGAAAGCTGTAATAATGAGATTGATTTCCACGGAGTTGTTGAAAAAAAAAACCATCTCAATCCAACGACGATTCACGTAGATCAGCGGTTCCCAAACTTTTTTTCCGCAGTGCCCTTTTAAAGGCACCAAGTTAGCCACGGCGCCCTGCTGTATATAACATGAAAGATAGAACAAAAAAAGTACTCATTGAGAACCAATGAAACGTAGACCGCGGTGCTCCCAGAAAGTGCAGACTTCAGTAAATGAAGACAGTGAAGTTGCCTCACTGTAGAGTACAAAATATGAACCTCGTATACTCGACACACACACAAATAATTGGTTGAAAAACTAATTCGTGTATATAACACATACACACACACACACAGTGGCGTGGTAAACTGAAAATTTTCCAAAGGCAAAGAAAAATATACCAAGGATCCTACCACCATTATAGACGCCAAAATGGTGGTTAACTAACATAAATTATAAATTATGTTTCAGATCTGTATTGATTACCTATTGAGTATCATATTAAATTAACGATTTGAGGACCCACCAACTAGATACCACCCACCCATTTCCTATATGAAAAAAATTCAGAGGCAAGTGCCTCTGACATTAACGTTTACCACGTCATTGAACACACACACAGGCACAACTGTAGAATCCAATAAAATCGCGTATGAAAAACACAAACACACACACACAAATCGTAGAGTAACGAGCCACTAGTTACTAGTTAGGCGCTACTTTGTCGTATAATGATCAAATCAACATACACAATAAATGAACGATCAAAAATATATTAAAATACTTTATTAACACTCGGCGTATGATGTTAACCGAGTCACACGATCACCACCACTGACTTCTTTCTTGGTCATCCAGTCCTCTTTTTATAATAAGTAAATTGTTTAGCTTACCCTATGTTTAATGTTATTGTTGTCTTACTCTAGTTACAATATGCTTAAAACTATTGTATGTTACAATATTGTTATCTTAACTTACTAAAATGTTTATATGTTATTATTTAACTTATTGACTTATTGATTATTGTTTAGAAATTCCACTAATTATCTATGATTATTTATAAAACATATCTTATTGCTTAATACAACGATATAGTTAAAAAAAAAAAAAAAACTATGTATACAATTATTTATTTATGTTTAGAGAAGTGATTTAATTACGGTTTTAAATGAAGAAAGTGATGGAACCGTGGAATTTACTATTTCGACCTCAGTTGTTAATAGGATTCCAATGATTAAAATTCAGGATTATTTAAAATCTGGATCATCCTATCAACCCCCAGGAGAAGCATTTCAAGCACTGGATATCATACTAAAAAATCGACCATTTTCGTTAAGGTTAGTTAAGTAGTGTGAACATTTAATATTAATTTTTATTAAATTCTTACTTTAAAGTACTAGTTTTTTAAGAGTATTTATTATATCTATTTCATTACTTTTACTATATTTTTTTTTTTTTAATAAATCTATAATATGAGGTATAAGAAATATTATGTTCTTGTAAGGGAAAATATTTTTTCCTAAAAACAAACTGAAATAATGCCCCTTATAGTTTTATTTTCAAACATTGTTTATTCAGTTCTCTATACATTCTTAAACATTAAATTGCAATTAATTATTAATTATAATCGTGTGTTACAGATTCATTAATGTTGGAAGATCATTTTATCCACTACCGCGTAATATACCAGTTGACTTAGGTGATGGACTGGAATTATGGAAAGGATTTTTTCAAAGTCCTTCTATGGGCTGGAAACCTTATCTTAATGTAGATGGTAAATACTAAATAACTCATAACCCAAATGCTTCAATCTTAATTTTTAAAGGTAGCTTTGGCATTTACAAATTATATAAAGTTTGCATTTAAGAAGAGGAAAGCAAAATTAAAAATTCTCAGAACTTTTCTAAATAATTAGGCACAAAAAATATTGTTTTTTACAGTTTAAGTTTTTAACTTTTGTGATTCGAAAATAATCAATTATAGGCATTTGAAATGTCCAACAAATAATATCATTTGATGGGAATGTAGTAGGTATTTAAAAATATCTTTTACTTTTTAAGAAATTTATTGATTGAGATTTTCAAAAATTTTTAGCTTTTTGATAAATATTATTTAAAGTATGAGTATACTTATATGCTGTTTTAGTCTTAAAAACATTCAAAGTGATTAGTTTTATGTTCACAATAACATTTTTAAAATTATAATGATCTGACTTATTAGAATCAATAGTACCTTTTGTTAATATTTTAATTTTGAAGCAATTTAAGACTTTTAAAATATCAATAAAAACCAACAAATTATTCTAAATCTTACCTCTAAATTTTATAATAGATTAACTCACTTCAATTTTAAATTTAACAGAGTAAAATAGTTAAATTTAATTATAAAATATGCTATGATGTACATTTGTAAAATGAAAACAATAGATTCAGGTGTGATGTGATGGTCTTAAAACAACATTTGTTTTCTAAAAACTTGAAATTGTAATTCAAATTGTCAAATCACGTTCCTTCTTTAGAATTATTTTTCCATCTTTTTTAATTTATGTCGCATGGTTTTGATTTTTGAAGAATTGTAATTATTAATTTTAATTTAATTTAGAATACTAAAATAGGCTTTCAATTATTTCCAAACTTTTTTTTGATTTATTTAAATTGTGGATTAGTTTATAAAAATTTGTATAAGTATTTTAATACATTAATTGTCTAGTATTCAGGTAAGCTAAGCAGTTTGTACTTTTAATATCTATACAATCTCTGTTTCTACTTTCCTATTCTTAAAATATATTTATTTATTTTATTAATATAATTTTAGTGGCAAACAAAGGATTTCCTAAACACCAACCATTAATAACTTACATTACAAATGAAATGCATTGTAATCTAAATTCAGAAATGAATCCTAAGGATATCAGCACATTATTAGATTATGTTAAAGGAATAAGTGTTGAGTTTATGGTTCCAATGCAACCTAATACAAAACGTGTCCATAATGTAATCGGTCTTCTTGATAGTGCCTCTAAACATACGTAAGTAAAAATTATTAACAACATACAATACATATTACCATACAGTATATATTTAAAATATATTACATGGAATAGTGAAAAACCTTGTACATAAAAGAAATTACTTAATATCCTTATTAGTTTTTGTTTAATAACCTAGAATATGGAAACTATACTTGGTTTCCTGAAAACATAATAATGCACACAATTAAATGGCCTCATATTACACTATGACTACTAACTTAAATTTAAATAATATACTATCAAATTCAAATTTGGAACTACATTTTGCATATTTTTGATATTTTTGTCAATTTTTATGCATTTATGTTAGACCAAAACCAAAATTTATATAGTCTTATTTTATTTTAAAATTAACAATATTTAAATATCCATTTTAGTAGTTTTAATTTTTTTTAAACTAAATAATAGTAATATAATTTGTTTATTATTAGAATTATTTTGCTATCAAAAGTGATTAATTTTAATTAAACTGTAATTCAATTGTTTGAAATTATTTAAATTTTTCACTTTTACTATAGTAGCAAATAATTAAGAATTATGTAGATAAAACAGTAATAATGACATAATATTTATAGTTTTGAAATCAAAGATTCTGTCAAAGGCAACCAAACAATAAACGTAATACAATATTACAAGATTGTACGAAACTATGATATTAAATATTCAAATTTACCTTGTTTACATGTTGGAAAAATTAATAAAAAAACTGCTATTCCAATTGAAGTAAATAATTATCATAATATATTATTACTTAATAGTTGTATATTTTTGATAGTATAAGATTCATAATGAGATACATAAAATTATTTAAAAAAAATTTCAAGTAATATTGTTAAATGCATTTTTTTAGCTATGCATCGTTCAAAGGGGACAAGTTAATTTGAAAAAATTAACTGAAAAGCAAAATAATTCTATGGCGAAGAATACAGTTCGGCCTCCCGTAGAACGGCGACAAGCTATTGAAAGCGCCTTCAGAAACATTAGATTTGATGAAGATCCTGTATTAAAAGAGTTTGGTATTAGTATTAAAGAACAGTTTGCTTCAGTACCAGCTAGAGTTTTGGATCAACCTTTCTTGGCATATGCTGAAAATAGGGTAAATTTTAATCTTTTTCAGTTAAACGGGTATTAACTTTGTTGATAGTTGATCAATAAAATTGTAGCAAGCTGTGATAACTAATAACTTGTATACATATGTATATATATGTGATTTTAACTATATTTTTATAGAGAAATCATTTACTAAAAATACTACAAATAATAACATTAAAAAGACTGTTGGCCTTTTTAGCCATCCTACAAATAGGTGTGGATGATAATTATATTTTCAACATTAGTAATGATAGGCGTTTTCTGTTAGGAGAGCAGGTCCTCAAACTGACAGGTTTTTATCATACTCAGAATCATAGAGCTTGTAATAATACTTTTTCTGGCTACAAGAATACTGTCATTTAATAGCAATTTTGGACATGTTTATTTTTTCAATCAATAAAACACTTAGAAATATTTCATTAACAATCATAAAACTTTGTTGAAATTACTTATCACTCCATTTATTAATCTGTACAAATAGATGTACGCAACAAGCTAGTTAATAAATTGTCAATTGATCTGTATAATGCATATTTTAATTTCAATTTAATGTTATTTAATTGTTGAGTTCATTCTCAGTGATGTTTTTGTTGTCATCATTTGTTTACAATATGTTTTGATGATTAGTAATTCTGAGTCACTAATACTAATCCCTATTGAATATTTTAAAACTATTTATTTTACTTTTAGAATATCCAATATTTTAAGAATTTGAATATTTAAGTATTGTAATTATTAATAATATTGGTATATTTTTAATTTCATTTTAAATATTAGGAGAAGTAGAAAGACATTTATTTATAAAATTGGTTGATATTTTATTCATATATCTTAATAAGATTTTTTCAGGGATCTCAAGATTTCATCATTATAATGTCTATTATTATTAACACAGTAAAACTAATTTTCTAATTTTATTTTTAATCTTATGATAAAATTCATGGCATTTTAGTTCAAACTAAAACTTTATTGAAAGAAAAATATTTTAATTTTTGAGTAGTAGAATATTATGTTTTGTGTTCAGACTTCTTCTGTTAATTATTTATGTTTCATAGTATAGTATGAATCATAATTATTAAATAGTTTCCAAAATTATCAAAATTGTTTGAATACGGTTATAATCACTTTATATATAAAATAGAATGGCAACAACAACAAAAATTAGTAACTTAAACACTTATTATATTTATTATTTTATCATTTCTATCTGAATTATACATTCAGGATAACAACTAATAGAAATAACAATAATACATAAAAAATTAGTATTGCCAAATAAGTAATACAAATAAAAGAACGATTGCATTACAAAAATATTTTTTTATTTTTCAGGAAATTAAACCAAAAGCAGGTATTTGGAAAGTAGATAAATTTTCTAAAGCTGTATTTATTCAAAAATGGGTTGTGTTGAATCTAGACCAACGAATTAGTATTACACACATCAAGTACAGTTGTTATGATTTTATTTCTTAATATAAACTTAATTAATTCTTTAATTTTTATTTTATTTAAGAAACTTTGAAGAGAATTTGATAAAGAGTGGTAAAGATTTGAATGTTGCTATAAACCCAATGGATCCTGTGATAAACAATTTTTCATCAAAGAATTTTGAAGAAGATGAATTGAAGTCTACAATTGAGAAAATCTTTAAGAAACTAAAAGCTTGTAACACAGAGATAGTTTTTGTTGTCATTCCAGATTTTCAAGTAGGAGTTTATGGTAAATAACATTATTTATTAATATCAATTTTTAATAATGATTTTATGAAAGAAAAAACTAATGTATTCTTTTAACTCAAACCAAGCATATATTAGATGTATACTATATTTACAATTTTTTTTTACTAATATTAAATGTATTATTAAATTATTTTAACAAGAACTTAACTTGATTTTGTTTTAGCTATTATTAAGCAAAAATCAGAATTGGAAATTGGTATTCTTACTCAATGCTTGAAATCTAAGACTATGTCTAATATGAATTTATCTTCGGCTTCCAATCTTCTTCTAAAAATAAATTCAAAATTGAATGGAATCAATCACACTGTTGCTAATAAAAGCAGGTAATAATAAACTAGATGACAATAAAGCTGTTCAAAATAGTAAAGTACATTTGAACTATTTTCCTAATTCTTTAACCATTGATCTATATTTTAAATTAAAATATGTTTTACTTGAGTTGGCCAATTTTAATTTAAAATGGAATTATTAGTTTTAAAGAATTAAAATCAAAATTATAAACTCTGTGATATTTTTTATACCTTGTATCTTCATGTATAAAATAAAAATTGAACCTTTTCAGGATTACTAATTGATTATTATAACATTAAATTGAGCCCCACAAATACTTTTGGGTTATCGGAATTGAGTCCAACCAATATTCTTAGGTTATTCGAATGGAGTCCCTATTTTAATTGTAATGATAAGTATAAAGAGTTAATTAATTAAAAAATATTAAAAATAATAGGTAATAAATAGTTATTAGAAAATAATTTTTTATCGACAATTATAGAAAAATACTTAAAAAAATTAAAAATTTGTCATATCTATAAATATTTCAAAAAGAGTTTGAATTTGTTAAAAATTTTATCATAATATAGGTATTGAAAATAATAATTTGGAAATTTCAAGTATGTACTTACATTATATTATTTATATTATTTTTAGGAATATAATAAAATATTAAATAAAATTTGAGGAGAAATAATTATTTTACGGATGAATATCTAAACATTCACTCCATTTTTTACTTGTGGTAATTTAATCATTAAGTAAGTATTAGCTAATTGTGTGTCATCGGCTATATAGGTAGTTATGACATTTTATCTATACGGACTCAATTCAAAGATATTAAGATAATAAGCTGGATTCAATTATATCACTAGATTATTAACTAGTAATAATTTAGTATAGACATTTTGTGTTCAATTAGTGTTAAAAAATATTCTTTTTACCTTGATAATATAAATATAATTTAAATTATGCTGGTTCTTATTTTCTCTTTAGTGTTTCTAACAAATTAATTTAATATATTTTTAAGTAGTCAAAATTGAATCTAATAAAAGTTTTTCTTCTAAAAAAAAAAAATATTTTAAATTATGTTTTGTAAACAAAAATTTATGATTTAGTCCACCTTGCATGGTTGGTGCAATTATTTTTGGAGGTGATGTGACACATCCATCTACTGACACTACGACTTCTAATCCATCAGTTGCTGCTGTATGTATAATTCAATTTTATACTATTCCAGTAAATTTAAATAACTTTTTAAGTTATAATAGTAGTTTAATTTGAGAATTGATAAAAATAATTAGATGTTTTTAACAATTTATTTAACTATAAATTATCTATCTAACAAATTTTAAGACAAGAATTTTTAAAAGCATTGTATTTACTAAGTTTAACATGTAATATGAGCGTTTACTAAAGAAAACTTAATAAAGCTTAATTTACTCATCACAATTATATCTATTATTATTTAAGTATTAATTACTTAACAAATTGTTTTTATTTAAAACATCTAAACTTTCAATATCTTTTACATTCTAAGTTAGAAAATAAAAATAAAAATAAAATTAAATAATTAATTTAATTTTCCATGATTTATTTTTTATGATTATGTTAACTTTTTTTTTTTATTTAATAATAATATTTACAATCTATGCTACAAGGTATAATAAGCAAATTTGAACATAAATAAATACACAACATGAAACTCATGAGGAGGGAGATTATTCAGTGATAGAACCCAATGCTATATATTTTTTTTTTTTATTTAATTAAATTAAATTATAATGGTTTGTTAACCATCAGTCATTTAGTAAATCACGATACCATTTTTTCTTAAGACGGCGTGGGGAGTTACTAGGAAGCGAATTAGATACAAGTTCAGCTATTAAAGGATTAAAATGAAATTGAAATTTTGAGTGATATTGTTTTTTGGTTATTTGATTTATTGTTTCTATTTTAAATTCATTTTGAAGTGTGGAATTTGATACGTACCATGGTGTAGTAGAGATAATACGAAAAATGATGAATTGGAATGCTTGGAGGGTACGTATTTGGGATGGTTTTGGCATCCCCAGATTTGGATTGCATAAGCCCAAATAGGCCTTGATATGAATTTATAGATGGTAATTTTTTTGTGGAAAACTAGTTTTGATTTCAGAATTGATCGAAGTAAGTGAAGTTGACCATTAAGAACTTTTTGATTTTATGTGTTGATTTCAATCTTTTGTTAAATATGATTTCGAGATATTTTGCTTCTGAGAATATTGGAATCGAAATTCCTTGAAATTAGAAAAAAAGAGGTATAGATTTTTTAGCGTGAATGGTATATAAATTGATCTATTAGGATTCATCTTAATTTTCCAATTGGATTACCACTCGACTAATAAATCTAAATTTCCTGGTGAAAAAATATCAGTGTCATTTGCATAGGTGATCTTAGTAGTATTTGGAGTTTTAAGAATGTTAGCCTAAATATAAAATAGATCGTGAGAAAAGTTACTTAAGAAACTCCAACTTTTGATAGAATAGTATGACGATAAGGAATTACTATACCGGATTATGTAAGTACTGTTTTATAAATGAGAACGAATTATCAAGTAGTATGGTGCGGTAAGACAATTTAAGTTTAAATAATAGACCCTTATGCCATACCCGGTCAAACGCCTGGGCCACATCTAAAAAAACACTAGGCCAGTATTGTTTTTTTTTATATTAAGATGAAATTTTGTCAGTTAGTTTGTGAATTTTATGTACAGTGGAATGATTAGTTCTGAAGCCATATTGGGAATGTGGAATTATGTTGTAGGTTTGAAGTATTGGTCTTATGATTGTTCTTATGATTTTCTCTAATAATTTGACGAGAGTTGATAGTAAGTTTATAGGTCTGTAAAAAGTGACTTCATTTTTTAGTTTGTTGGGCTTGGGAATAACAGTTATTGTTGATAGTTTTCATATTAATGGAACATAGAAGCTATAAAAACAACTGTTTTTTTTGGTAGATGCTTTAGAATTTTATTAGTATTACGGTCATATCCTGGTGATTTTTTTTCTTTTAATTTACTTATTAAGTACTTACTTTGCTTGACGATATATGTTTTTCAGGAAGTGATATTGGAAGAGGACTATTAATAAATAAGTTAATTGTTTTTGGGTGTTCAGTGTTGGGGTGTGTATCAGTATGTGGTTTGAAAATGTTATCTTTTTTTGCTTTTTCTTTATCAGAAATAGCCGAAATTCCGTAAGGGCCAGTTATCGAAGGAAGTTGCTGTTTTATATTAAGTAATTTTTTGTTGTTGTTTTCCAAAATAAGCTGTTTTTTGTGTTTAGGGATTGGTATTTTTTTTTTTCAAAATATTCAGTTTTATATTTAGATATTAATTTTGATGGTTTTTGTCAAGTAATTAAATGTTTGTCATCTAGAGCGAGTACGGCGTTTATTGGAAATTAATGTATTCATATAAAAAGGCAAGGTTTAAATATTTGTTTGATTTATACTTTTTGAGGTATATGGGTATAAGAAATTGTAAATAGCTCATTGTATCGAGGTTATGAGGTCTTGGACTGTGTTTTCTATATCAGATTTCGATTTAAGAGAGATTTTTATGTTGGTGGTATTTGCATAATTTCAGAGAACTCACTCCATTTTATTGAACCAAAAAATGATGCATAGGATTTAGTTCTGGAGCTTCGTTGAATTTAAGCATTGCAGGAGTGTAATCAGAGCTAAGGTTATTTAAATTGGTAACATAGAATTGCAAATATCTAGGTAATGTTGAGATAAAGAAATCTTAAATGTCTGGGTGTCTATTTTAATGTAAGGGCTAGTAGATGGAGCCCTATTTTTCCTCTTGTATTATCAGATATGCAGGCCTATTGAGAGTGTTTGACATCGAAGTCACCACTAACAAAAACTTTTAGCCAAGAGATTTAAAAAATTCTTCAAGTTGTTTTGAGTTAATAGCAGGATAGAGAAGAAGAAACGAAAGATATTTTAATTGGTGTGTAGTTTTATGTTATTTGGATATTAGATGCCTGTATAATAGGCGTCTGATTAGCCGGGAGTAACTGGTGCTGGATTTTAAATGATATTATTATAATTTATAGCTGATCCTGCATAAGCAGTTTTATTAGGATGATCTGTTATATTATAAACCTTAAAACTCGGGAAAAATACGTAATTAAGTGCATGATTTAAATTGAGTTTCCGAGATAACTGCTAAATCAATTTGTTTTTCTAGTAATAAATTTAAAAATTCTGATTAATTTTGTTTTATACCATAGTACTTTGTTTAATACGTTAGAATTTAACTGACTACTGATCATCATTTTACGAGTTTATTCATATCTGTTGTGAGGAGGGATATAAGAAGATTAATTATCGGTTTAAATTCAGAAATAAATGAGGATAATTGGACTGCTTTACTACCATGTGAATTCTCAGTGTTATTCTAAAAAGTATTATTTTGAGATTTATATCGAGGAGGTTATTGACTTAAGTGAGGTAGTGACGAAGAGTCTGTTAAATCCGGTAGAGACTCATGGATGTTAGCATTTTTATCGCGTTCCCACTTAACAGTATTACTATAGTTAACATTACTTTTTTTTTGTTTGGAATCGATTTGCTGCAGTAGAATTTTTACAGAGTTTTATGAATTTGATATCCACGATAGTTTGCATTGTGATTTTCTCCACAGAAAATACAGACAGGAGGTTGATCGTTGGTCTTGGTACAAGCTGAGGTTGGATGGTTGAAGTCACAGCGAACACATCTCGAAAAATAGGTATAATAAGTTTTACTCTTGGCAATTTAAACACTGGATAATATCACGTCTTTTATACGGTTCTTCTATTTTTATTTTTGTGTTAAATATTGAATTTAGATGAAAGATATCATTGCTGATTTCAGCTAGTTCTAAGTCAACGAAGGAAATCGGAAGATAAATTTTTGTGATTTTATGTAAGACGTTTGTAACATTACGAACTGTGCATCCAATTCCTCGAATTACAATTTATATATCAACTGTTGAGTTAGATGATGCAAATTCCGAATAACTATGCGAAGGATTTATCTTCATAGGCTTAAAATGTGTGATATTAGATTCTTATAAGTATCTTATGATTGATCTATATATGTCGGAATTGATGGATTATATCATTAGGTCTTTGGAAGTTAAATTGATGAAAAAGTTTTCGATTCCAACTAGATCGATTAAAATAGTACGAAATGCGCAAAGTCTAATAATCCATGGACAAAAATGGGTGGAGGTTGGTTTGTTTTGATTTGATCCGTATTCATGTTTACATTATATTTGATTTTGTATCAGATTTAGTTTGATTTGTTTCAATATTATTTATTTTATCCTGTTTCCCTGTCGAGAACGACGAATCTATTTGTTGATGCAAAAATTGGTTTAATGTTATTTGTTTTTGTAATCGACGGTGATTCATCGATGGAGAGATTACATTTAGATTTTGATTTGGCAATTTTAAAGCTGACATTATTTTTGGTTCTTTTGAGAGTATTCGAGAATACATCGTCACTTAAAACTCTCTGTAAACGGATTGTATTAGAGTTTGATAAGTAATTTTTGCAATTTAGATAAGCATTTCCATAATTGGATATTGTTTGTTATCGGTTTACGTAAGAAAAAGATTACAGTAACCGTTGACTGTGGCAGTCAGTGAGACCGTGCTATGTACCTACCTATGGTAAATTAATTATGATTACCAATTTATTGTAAATTTCTAAGTAAGAATTAATTAATGTCACACAAGAAGGACTCTGATTGAATCAGATTTCATTCTTACATCTAGCTGTTGCCAAAAACAATTTTTACGGTAAATACACAAATTTGAGAAAAACGATTTATGTACAAAAGATTTAACACATATGTACACTTAATGTTAAATAATTATTTATTCATTTTTTTTTACGGAATAATAAAAATTATATATTTATCATGTATATTAAATTTTTCTTAAATTTCCAATTAAAACCAGTATTAATCGAAAAATTTACTAATTATGGAAAAAAAATATAAATAACATTAAATTAAACAAATCATACCAATAAAATGATAAAAATCATCATTAAAATACGTATATTGTTTTAATACCCAGTTACCAAAATTAGTAATAATAAATTAAATTATTTTTCTTTAAAAATTATCTCAATAAACATTTTTTATTTTTCGATTTAAAAGATATTTATGAAAGTACTTATTATACTAAATTAATAAGGTCACAGACAAATAACGTATAAAACAAACTCAATAAATCAAAATTATAATAAATAATTTTAAGAATACTTTTAGATAACCATATTAGTTCATTAATTGATAATGCATTATGTTCTTAATTAATGTTTTTATAAATATTTTTACAAAATTGTATAATAAGGTTTTACTGTCTTAGGTAGCAGCTAGTCATGATATTAATGGAAGTCAATATAATATGGAATGGCGCTTACAACCTCCTAGAGTAGAAATTATTCAAGATCTCGAAGACATTGTTCATATACAGTTGCTTAAATTCAAAGAAAGGACAAAAACCGTGCCAAGGAAAATATTTTATTTTAGAGATGGTGTTTGCGAAGGTCAATTTATGCAGTTGTTGGAACATGAATTGGTTGCTATTCGTAGAGCTTGCCTTAGACTCCATATAAACTACAAACCTTCAGTGACAATTTTGGTTGTTCAGAAACGTCATCATACAAGGATGTTTCCCAAGTTCAACTGTGATATGGACGGAAAGAATGGTAATATTATTCCTGGCACAATTGTGGACACTCAAATTACACATCCAACAGAACTTGAATTTTATTTATGTAGCCACGCTAGTATTCAAGTTAGTTATAATTATTATATTTTATCTTATAACTTTAAAGTTGATACATAATCTTTTTAAATATCTAATTTTTATTTATTAAGGGCACATCCAGACCAACCAAGTATCATCTTATATGGGATGAAAATAATTTGACCGAAGATCAGTTGGAACATCTGACATTTTACCTTTGTTTCATGTTTGTCCGTTGTACTCGTTCTGTTGCATATCCAGCGCCTACATATTATGCCCATTTAGCTGCATTTAGAGCACGAAGTTATATTGAAAAGTTAGTAATTTATTTCAGTATAATAATTTTTAAACAAAAATTTATTTTATTTTTTCAGTAAAATCATCGACGTCAATCGTTTAGATGAGGAGCAATCCAAAAATAAACTGAACCATTCATTTACAGTTAATACACCGATGTTTTTTATTTAAATATTTTTATTTTTTTTAATCTTAATTTTTTTTTGTAATGATAAATTACTCTTTTCAAATATTTCTATATTATTGCTTATAAATACAGTATAACTTGCTTAAGGCGCTTTGCAAGGTACCAATCTTTTAGAGTTTCTTATGCAGAAATTGAAAAAAAAATAAATAAATACTTAAGACATCAAGTTTATTTATTTTATATTTATTCTAATAAAAGTATCTAAATTTGTTAACATAATTCAAAATTTATTATTTCTAATTTTTATTATTATAAAATTTCAGTAATTTATTTTCTGGACAAAATGTTCTAATTTGATTAAATAAAGAAAAATCAAACGTTTTCAGCAAATTTTACTGTACCTAGATTTAATGACCTACATACAATATTCATGTATAAGGCTTTTTTTTTTTACTATATTTTTTGCTTGTATTCAATTTTACTTTCTTAATAAAGTTATATTCCTGCTTAATATATAAATATGTTAATCAATTTAGTTTATTGAGACTTAATTAGGGTTGATAACCAACTTGTGTCAATTGTCACCAGCGTAGATATATTAACACAAACTTAGTCCTCTAGTGGCACTTTGTTTGATCCTTGGGAATCATGAAATCATACTAAACCAGTGTTTCTCAACCAATGTTCTGCAGTCTCAATTAGTTCTAATTACTAGATAATTGATGCTCTACAGTCTACAACATATAGTTACAAAAAATGTATTTACATAATATAATTTAATTTATTATTTTGTTTAAATAACCTCTATTGGATTTTAATATTTAATATAAACTTATGCAGTGAAAACACAGTAACAGAAATTATAAATATCAGTTTATTATAAAAATAAAACAACAAAATATTTTATACAAACAAGTATTAATACAACAAAAATATTTTGAAATACAACATATGTAAAATCTTTAGTACAATTTAAAAGTTTTAATACCAATAAAAAAGTTACTTGAAAACTGACTTTATATTTCATAAAAAAAAATTAATTGATACAAATTATATTATTTTAAAATATAAAATATTCTGGTCTCAAATGTTTAAATTATCAATAATAAATAGATAAACAAATAATGCAATTACAAATTATCATCCTCCTACATTAATAAAAATAGGATGTTTTTTCTGATAAAATTAATAATATATAATTTATAATAAATGTATTTAATATTAATTTAGGCAAATATTGTGAAAATATTATACCAATATGTACCAACTGATAATAACAGTATCTTAAAATAAACTTGAATACAATTAAAATGAGATTATGTATTAATAATTATTATTAATTCTATACTTAAATTAAGATACCAATCTTACTATTATAATGTAAAAAGCTTTGGTAAGAGTAAAATAATAACAATTTAAATAAATATTTCTTTCACAAATTGATCATTTGCATACTTAAGCCACCTTGATAATGCTTTGTTTTCAAAAAAAATGTTGGGATTTTTATTGTTCTTGAGCATCTATAATAATATGGATAATAAAATATTTTTGATAAAAATTTTTTTTTAACAATTCAACCATAGTTTTATTTTCAATCTTATTTACTTTTCCACAGCTTTTAAACATTTAGTTAAATATTTCTAATCCAGCAATTAAGTCATCTTCATTTGGTCCATAGAATTTGCACATTTCTTGAATAGGAGATTAACTATGGCTTTTTTTATTAGTCAGCGTTTCCATAAGTAAGTTTAAAATAGATAGATCATTTTGATTAAATCTATCTTTGATTCTTTTCATGACAACATCCTAAACTGAAAAATAAATGGAGATCTGGTAATAAGACTTTTTATCATGAAATTCTGGAAAAATATCACTACTCTTATTACCTGCAGAAGACTTAATTGGAATTGTTAAACAATTTTCTATATTTTTATCAGATTCTCATAAGAGAATGTCAATTTGGTTCTCAATTATTGGAAATAAAAATCAAGCTCATAATAAACTTCATAAATTACAAAAACTTAGTGCTACACGATGGTGGAGTAAAGACAAAACGTTTACATAAATTATTATTAACATATTATTAGTAGATCTTTTTAAAGTTAAAAATAGTAAATTTATTACATTTATTGATTTTCTTTTAGCAATTTGCAAAGAAAATTCTAATGCAAAAACAAAATATATAGCAAGATCTCTTATTAATAACTGGTCAAAGTTTGAATTGATTTGTGTGGCAACTTGATTGATATTTATACAATCACTAGCTCCGTTTCAAAATATTTACAATCCAAATCCATTAATTATTATTTACAAACTTGGATAATGATAGACACCATGAAAAAAGAAATATTAAGCAAAAGAAATAATAATTATTTATTGTTTTTGTTGAAAAAATGCAAACATGTTGCAGATACAGTTAATAATCACTACCTTAATGAAAACTTAGTTGAATTTAAGACGATTTTCCTCAAAAGAGGATTTCTGAAAAAAAAAGATTACCGTGTGAAAATTGTTAAAACGAATCCAGAAGGGTTAGTTCATTTGAAAAATTCAAACTAAATTCTTCTAACGTTTTGGATACCATATTTAATAGTATTGAAAAAACATTTGTTACAAATAAAAATATACTCACAGGCTGTAACTGATTAGACTCAAAATCATTTTCCAGCATCGAGTTAATAAAACATAGTGATGCATTAAAAACTATCTATGAATTTTCAAGATTGGATGTTCAAGTAATATGCTCGAAGCTAAAACAATTTAAATATCAATTTAAAAATTCCCTAACAAATTTATCTTTTAGTGATATTAAATTCTCTCAGGGGTAAACTAAGTAATTAGTATTACGGGTTTGGCGAACCTGGGATCTCGAGCTACTAATGGGGAAAGTACCAAGTATATATACGATTCCAGTAGTGTTAAAGACACCCTATTGTCTTGAGGTTGACTTTAACTTTAACGGTTGATGAACCAAACACTATGTTCGAAAGTGTTAAGGTAAGGAAGGTAACGGTAAATCACCTGATTATTTGTCCCTAGTACCTCATAATGGCAAATGTGAATGTAAGTGATGTAAGTAATCATGATCTACGGAAACCAAGATTCAGCAAGGAAAGTAATAACAACAACAAAGCTTCCCTGGTTGTCAACATACAAAATCTTTGTAAGAAGATGAAGATTAATGATAACTAAAACATTAAGGTGTCGAAGAAACCAATAAAATTATGCACTTGAAACGTAAGAACAATTTTCCAAGCAGGAAAAATTAATAATGTAATAACTGAAAAGAATACACTTGAAATAGATATAATGGAAATCAGTAAGACGAGATGGCCAGGTAACGGACAATGTAATAAAGAAAAACATAAAGTATTTTATTTCGGAAATGAGGAAAATCAACATATTCATGGAGTAAGATTTATAGTATCATGTGAAATACAAAAATATGTTACAACTTTGTACCAATATCAGAAAGAATAACTATTATTCAGTTGAGCGGGAATCCAGTAAACATAAACCTAGTACAAGTATATGTTCCTACTTGAGACGCAGATGATGTTGAAATAAAACAATTTTATTGTACAATATCTGATACTCTAATAACATTTAAGAAACATGAAATGAAAATTATTATAGGAAATATGAATGCTAAAATTAGACAAGGAAAAAGTAGCGATCTAATTGGTGATTATGGTCTAGGTATTAGAAACGAACGTGGAGAAAAAATGAAAATATTTGTCAAAAATGAAAATTTAGTTGTGTTGAACACCTTTTTTAAAATGCTGTCAAGACACTTTACACATGGAGCTCATCACGTGATCAACCTGGTAACATGATTCAAAATCAGATTGATTACATGTTTATTAAAAAACGTTTTAGGAATAACTGCAGTTTACTTGTTAAAACATATCATGTTGCCAATATTGAATCAGATCATAATCCTTTAGTTGGAAGTTTCAGAGTTCGATTAAAAAAAAATGTATTAAAAAACAATACAAGAAAAAAATTGGATATGAGAAGATTGAAAGAAAACGAAACATGTGAAAATATTTTTAAAAATATCGGGAACGTTTGCATAGTCTTAGAAAGGGAAAACAACAATTCATAGGAAACTTTTCAGAAATTGACAAATAAGTTAGAGAGCATTAGTAAAGACAATTTAGAAATGAACAATGGATGGTAGAAAAAATATTGTAAATTATGAAAGAAAAAAGAACATTGAAGAATGACCCACACAAATATAAAGATAGCCAAAAATGTAGAAAAAAAGAAATATGTAAAGTAAAATAAATGTGGATGAAAAATCAGTGTGTAGAAATTGAAATTTTGGAAAGAAAACGTAATTACAATTTACATAAAAATGTAAAGGAAGAAGCAGGAATGTAAGTCATACACAGTGGGGATATTAAATTATGAAAATGACAAAATTATTATAGATGAAGAAGTCAAAATAAATACTGCACTAGACACGGTATTTTGGAAACAATTGCAAATTCTTTAAACTTAAAACTTAAAACCTTGAAGTCTGTATCAACAACACGGTGGGCCTGCCGTGCAGAAGCAGTTAGTGCTATTAAAGAAAACTATACAGCATTGTTGGTTGCTATAAAAGAAATTTCGGATAGAACAAAGCAGGCTGATGTAAGAGCAAAAGCATTAGGAATATTAAATCAAATGAAAACTTTTGAATTTATATTTGCAATGCTTATGTTAAATCCTATTTTATCCTTAGTTTTAAAAGTAAGTGTGTATCTGCAATCTTCGAACATAAATTTATTAACTGCTGTTGAACTTGTTACATCACTGAAACAATCTTTAATATCATTAAGAAACAATGAAAGAGAATTCCAAGACATTTTTAAAAAAACTGTTAAAATGTGCAACGATAATGATATTTTGATACCCGATTTGAAAAGAAGAAGAGTTTCATCTAAAATTGATGAATCCCATAAAACTCAACATATAATGAAGAATAAAGAAGAATAAATGAAAATATCAGTGTTTTTTCCTATGTTAGATAGAATGATAAGTGATATAGAAATTAAATTTAATCAAGAGACTATTAATATGATAAAGTGTGTTGCGCGTTTGATAAAGCAAGAAGTTACTAATGATGATCTTATAAATTTGTCCAATATATTTGGAGTTGATTTTAAT